ACCTCACTCTCCTATTAGGTTGGATTTCAGAATAACAAAAAAATAACCCACGATATTTAAGAACGAAGGACTTCTTTACTTTTAAATCTTGTCTTATTAAACTAAAACAAATAAAGCAGAGAATAACTTTCTTGAGCGATTCTTCATGCTCGTCTTTTCTTTTCTTTGTCAAAATTTATTTTCCTGACTAAAACATCGTCTATAAACTCTCAATAGCAAGAAGAACCTGTGTGTGAAGTTTTTATGGAGTAAAAAGGAGCAGCAAAATGAAAAATTTAAGTACGTTCAGAAATCCCTCTTTCTTAGCAATAATAATACAGTAATACTTACTTCCAAAACCACTCATCAGTTTTAAACGATTCTTTCATCATTTTTGTAAAATATTAATAGGAAAATAATAGTAACAAAAAATTGTTAAAAAAAACACTCACGAGCGGATACACGAATTTTTCTGTGCAACAAAAAGGTGTAAGATTTTTGTCACAACTTCAGTTTGTTCTCAAAAATTTAAGATTACTATTTTCAAAAACCCCTAGCTATTTATTAGAGGAATAAAACAAAAAAATATCGGTTGTATTAGACCAAATAGATTTTAGAAAGATCGTATCGAAATGTGGCTACATTTTGGCCACTCTTTGAACAACAAAATAATCTTTAAAAAATACGCTAAATACGCCGCTGCTCTACTACTTGAGCTATCGTGACTTCGACCCACTCGGACACTAACTTCCCATCTCAACCCCACCTTTTGAATTTACTCTCCTTTTTGCCATTTTTCAAAAGGAGGGGTTTAGATGGGAGGTTAGTGTCTGAGTGGATCGAAGTAGCTGCATATCTAGCCGAAGGTCGTGGGTTCGAATCCCGCTCGTGACACTGACTTTTTTATCTCAACTAAAAACCTTAATTAATTGAAAGATATTAATTGGTCAAGCGGACCACGAAAACTAGTGAAGTTAAGATTAAAGTTGATAAGTTACAAAAAAATGACCATAATATCAACAATGTTTAAAATTATACACTCTAAGCAACCGAACTGTCTATTTGTTAAATATAAGAGAAAAATTGAAACACTAAACTTAGACTATATATTCGAAATTCCAATTCTGTGCGAGAAAGGGCGACCCAACTCAATTGAGGGTAATCCCTCACTCTCCGAATTCTAAATTACTCTAGAATCCCCTAACTATCAATTTTTCCAGATTGCAGTCCATCAACATCTCACATAAAATGAAAATAAAAAATTCAATCCTTCTAATTAATAAACAGCCCACAATACTTGTCAGTCAATTACAATTCTATCAATGGACATAACTAAAATATACTCCAACCCTTTCTTAATTAATAGCATAAAGCTGTTTATTAATGTTCCAAATAGTTTACTTAACAGCAGTTTTCTTACTTCCAAAAGAACTAAGAAAATATCTAAAACATCTGATGGAAAGTAATTAACACCATCATAAAATCGTAAATTCATTAATATTATGTTTTATATTATACGTTTTGACATTCTCTAAATAACTATAATAATAACGAAAATTAAAAAATAATTGGTTAATTCATTTAAAGTCATATCTATAAAAAATTGTTGTTTAAGTTTTTATTGTTTATCTTTTCTTTTTTTCTTTAGATTGTTTTTCATTGATTTCTACGTGGATAAGTACATATTGTCTCATAAATTTATAAACCAAAAATTGTTGTATTGTGAAATATTGACTATAAAATGTGTAAATCTTTGTTTTTTCTTGTATTCTATTTATAAAATAAATTGTAAAGATCAAAAGAGTCTGCATAAATTGTATATATTGTATGGCATAAACGCCACATTAGCGGCACTCCTCAGTACGGGAGGCAAAAAAAATGTACAACTCAACATCTAAGTTATAACTAACTTTTTATCTCAACTAAAAACCTTAATTAATTATAATATATTAATTGGTCAAGCGGACCACGAAAGTAGTGAATTAATGATTTAAAAATGAAGTACAGCTCAAGTGGTAGAGCAGTGGCGTATTTAGCCGAAGGTCGAGGGTTCGAATCCCGCTCGTGACACGGACTTTTTTATCTCAACCAATACCTACTAACAATAAGCATTAAATCAGCGTATCTGCTCTAACCACTTGAGCTGTCTTGACTTTGATCCACTCGGACACTAACGTCCCACCCCAACACAACCTTTCGAATTTTGGGAACGAAGCTAGGACAAGTGAAGTTGGAGTGTGTTGTGAAGTTGAGACGTTACAGTTTATTTTCCAAAAATAGCTCCATTTTTCAATTGTTGATATGTGGTTTTGTAATATAAGTGTGGGTTTAAAAAAATTTAAATTTTGTTCCACGGGTACAAACATCTTTTGCCTATTGTGATTGATTGTTTCCTGGTACTGTCCTGGTAAAAATTACATTGATGTTCTTGTTTTGTAATATAAGTGTGGGTTTAAAAAAATTTAAATTTAAATTTTGTTCCAGGATCTTTTACCTATTGTGATTGATTGTTTCCTGGTTCTGTCCTGGTAAAAATTAAATTGATGTTCTTGTTTTGTAATAACAGCCAATCCTGGTCCTGGATTAGGTCTGTGTTAGTTTAGTGTTATTAAATTCAATTCTGTTCTGGTATGTCTTGACATTCAACTTCCACCGAATCGATTTTCTTCGATTACACACCACGTTAACCGACACGAAAATGGCTTTTAATATTAAACGACACTCGTGATTTTTATACATCCTCGCCGTCGAGAGTGGAACACTGTGTACAGTTAGAGGCGTGAGCTATCGAGAACGTGTCCTTGTGACCACGGACCGTGTCCTGCCCGTCTTCTTGCCCTTGTACCTCACCGGAACTCCTGGATGTGACCACTCTAATAGTTTCCTCGAGAAGAGCGAATCGTTATGGCTCGAGCAAGCCGACACAAGTTAATTCCTTTGTGCGTGGGTGAAAAAGGGAAAAACTTCCATATCCACTACAACCATCGCATGCGCATAAAACATAATCGTTTTTGCACACATTCTGTAGGTTTTTCAGCCTTAGAAATTAGTAAATCTATTGATATTATCCATCATCTTAAATCTTAAAATCTTAATACTTATTCCCAACACATTAGAACATGTATATACTCAGCTTCAAATCATTCTGATAAAGCTCATTTTAACGAATAAACCCTCATACAAAACATGTAAAGGTATAATTTTATATTTTCAAGTTTTAAACAACGCATCGTGTAACGAAAAGCGTTTCGGGACAGTTGGAAAAAGTTAGGTAGTGGATGTACAATTGTTGATTTATACATTTCAGGTTCACCTGTGCCTCCTGCCAGGTGGGATTTCTCTTATGCCCGGAGGCCTAGCGAGAAGAGTATAGCCCCCTTTTATTAAAAAAATAATTACCCTTGACGATTTGTTCTTGTTTTTGGTTTTTTTGGCAATTGTTATATGACATCGCGACAAGTCACAGAAACCACGCTCGTCAGAAAGACAGCACGAAAGGTCTTTCAAAAATTCACATTAGAATAATAAAAGGAGAAGAAAAACATACTTGAATAGATGTATTAGCATGAGGACAGTATAAAAACCTTTATAAGAAATAAATTATATTAATGTATGACATAAATGTCAGCTGTTTGGTCCTTGGCCACCTGGTTTGCACGTTTGCTTTCGTCATGTCTGTAAAAGATAAATGGCATAATAACGAAAAATAGTGTGAAAAAATGGATCATTAATCCACCTCAACTTTTATTGTTACGTGTCGTTTGGATTAGCCAACATCTTGCCTTACTCTACTTACCTGCCTTACGCTCTTCTGATGATGTTGATGATTTTATGTTGATTGTTATGGTTTGTAGTTGCCTTCGAGGAAAGAAATAATTGTTAAGGAGGTGAAATTAATGTTTATCATAACAGCTAAAAGTTTTTTGTTCTTAACCATCCTGTTCAGCACGTTTTGCTGTTGGGTCATCTCTTATGCCATATTGACAAAAAATGAAAAACACTAAATCCTTTCGTCAGGCTATCGAAAAATACATCTCTTTCATCAGGACATTGTAGCTAATATTAATAATTCACACTTTTTTCTCTTTAAATACATCTGTCAACGCCCAAATAATAAAGCATGCAGGAAAATAGGCTTTTCTTAAAAATTAACATAAATATAAAGTAAATAATTATTTATTAATTGAAGAAGATTAGGTGTAATCAAAATTCCGATAAATATTAATACTCAAAGCACAAGGTTGTCATAAATAAAAATTGAACAATCTGGGAAATTTTATTATGATAGAAAATATCAAAAAATAAAACAACAGTTCACAACAAAAACACGGATAATATAATAATATTAACTGTGATATAACAAACTCTCACTCTAAGTAATAAATGAATTATTTGCTTTGTTTAACTCATATCATGATTTTAAGACTTTTGATGATGATCATAAATGTTTATAAATTTGTATATTAAGTAAATGTTTTGGTTTTGTCGGACAGTCTGCAGTTTATCAGATTGTTCCTCCCTGATCATTTATCTTACGATCATTGCTTTTATTTTTCTTATTTTTCTCCTTTCAATATAAGAACCTAGTGAAAACTTGCATTTAAATAGACAAAAATACAGAAGAACAATAGTTAGGTTGTAAAAAAATCAATCAAGGGAAAATGGATGAAAACCTTAAACACAAAGCAGAATTATAATCAGTAATGATGTCGCTGACACGAACAATGTTTTAGTATTGAGTATTTTTTTAAATTAATGTTCAAATCTCTATAAAGTTTAATCACAATTTTTTACATTGTAATTAAAAGTAATACATATAATGATGATTTTTATATAAATGTGTGTTGCTTATATGCTGGTTAAACAAAAAGTAAAGAGAAACAACATGATTTATTTAAATAACCCAATTTTTCATGTCCTAATATTTTTTCAAATTTTCAGGGTGGGGTTTTTGAATTTTGACAATTTGCATTTTATCATTGAGACGACATGCAGCCAGGCTTCCCCTAGCGACCTTATCGTTATCACCTTGAGGTTTCACTCGCTGTTATTGACACAACAAGTCAAAATCTTTGCATTTATGGTGAAATGGAGAAAGCCGAACAACTTAAAAAGCTCGTCGAAAGTTTGACCCATTCCGGCAAAAGTACGCTCGACAAACGGAAACTTAAAATCATCCTTGATACCTGCAGGTAATTTTATTGAAAACCCTGCGAAGAAATTCTTCTTCGGGGTCCGAAGTCTGAAGTTCTGTGTTGAGGAAGAATCTTTGTAATTCACCAAAAGACTTTAAAATCTACTTGGATTGTAATGATTAACTAACATAAACTGAAGCATTTTTAATAAATGCTGGAATTTCTTTTGAAATTTCTCTTTGTGGTCGGAGTGATGAACCTGTAATTTCATCGTTGCTGATCATCCTGGTCCTTGCTGAATTATGTGTCTGATTAAAGATGATGCTGAAATATGTTTACAAACACAGTGAGGATATGCAAACCAAGATGAAGCTTGATATTTACCGTATAAAAAATAATCTTTAAAAATTAATCCATTTGTTTAGTGGCCTAATTGACAATATTAATTATTCTTTTTATGTAAGGTCTTGGTTGAGATGAAAAAGTTAGTGTGACAAACGGGATTCAAACCCACTCGTGACACAAATTTTTTCATCTCAACCAAGACCTTACATAAAAAGAATACTTTAAAATTAAGTTTGTCTCAAAATCTTCTACAGGATCACATGAGACCAAATTGTTTAGTAGTGGTGCTAAAGTTTCTTTATAGGGCATCGGTGGCCGCAATGGTTTAGGCGTTGACACGACACTCACCACTGTAAAATAAAAGCCCTGGGTTCGAATCCAGCAGCCCTGCATTCAAACATGACTTTTTTTTTAAAGCACCAGCACGCAAAAAGTTGATATGCCTAATATTTGATATACCCTCATTAAAAAAATTTACTGCTTCAAATCATCTTACAATCATTCCATTATTAGCAATGTTCAACATTTTATATTTATATTCTTATAAATTTGTATTAGTTAGAAAAAAATTATTACTAATGAATAAAGCAGTGTTGACAGATGCTTGGTGAAAGTTGCCTATGACAAACTTTCGGACGATCTGAAGGAAGAGCACTCCGAAGTCAAGCTCAGCTCTATTCAGCTCATAAATGAATTGTTTATGTAAGTTAATTAATTTATTAATTATTAAATTTATTACTAGGTGCACCTAATAATAATATAAGGTTATTGTACTGGTTAGCGCTAAAGCCCTAGTTGGGCCAGGGACTGTTCAAGAATCAAAAACTACTCTCTCCTTGCTCTACTTACCTTGTACCCTCTTATTCCCAAATTTCTAAGGTTCTCCTCCACTTCATCCCCTGTACAGCTTTGGTCTTACTTTCAGCCCTACCTGCCCTTCTTGACATTCTGAAAAAAAAATTCTCATGCTCCACACCGCCGTGTCTAAAGGAGACCCCATACCTGCGAAACAAAACGGCCACTTGATGTACTAAAATTACAATTTACATTATAATTGCGGAGAGTGCTTCTATGCTAATTGAAAAGATCTACATTTGCTGGTTTCACCCGTTACAGTAGTATCTAAAGGGCTTATAAAATATTTACAATTTTTTATACATAATTGTAGTCTGGTAGCCCCTATCAACCGTCTTTAACAGCCTGTGATTATTGTTGGCTATGGAAATACCACCAATAAGTCATGGTATTCCGGGACAGAGGCATGGGAACAATTTCATTAAAGGACCTTATAAACTAACTGCAGTTTGAACTAACCTCTAGGACCTTAGAAACTAACCTTATTTTAGAACTAGTTAAAAAGACTGATTCCGATGAATATTTATAGACTCAAAGCAGCAAATACAAGCCTAGGCAGACTTGTCATGAAGAAGAAAAAACAACAGAGCATATCCTCTGTTGGATTTTAAGACCTATGCAGGATGGGATTAAAGAAAAGTCAATGCTTCAAGGATAAACATACAAAATCTTTTAACAAAGCTTTGGGCTATGATAAAAAAGCATTAAGCTTAGCAAAGAGCTGTAGGCCTCTAGCAAATAACAGATATTGCACAATAGACCAGTATTGGTCAGGATGTGTAAGATTGTTAAGAGGCTGACTCCTTTTTAACCTTAAAATTATATACCACCAGCAGAAGTGCATCGTGATGATTTTCACATGTCATTCTGTCACCTTTGTTTATAAATTGGACAAAGAACAGCTCCGCCCTGGAAGTTCATGATGCCTCAGTGATGCGATATTCTCCATTAATTTATTTATTAAATTAATGTCTAAGTATAGAATTTTTTGTTTGTCACAGTAAGTTTGAAGATTTTCGACACATGGTCGTCGATAACATTAGGGATTTCTTCACCCATGGATCTGGAGTCGGAAGGGAGAAACCGATGCCGCCTCCGGCGAAGGCAGCCAAGGAGGCGAGAAAGCTCTGTTTCACCGTGATCCACGAATGGTGTCAGAAATATCGTGCCGATCATCCCATCCTCAAATCCGTTCTCCACCACCTCGAATGCGCACATAATGTACATAAATTTAATTTGATCAGTAACTTTTTTAACTTGTAACTTTTTTCTTTTTTTGTAAAAGGTGGATTTTACAATTTTTGAAATTGTCGATCCAAAGGAGAAAGAAGAGAGACTGAAGAGGGAAAAGAAAATGATGTTGATTAATAAAGAAATGTTGAAAAAAGTCAACAATGAAGTTGAAGGTACTTTTTTATGTTTCGACATTTGGTCAGATTCTGTGCGTTGTCTTTACCATTTAAATACAAAACCAAACTTGTTTGGACTAATTTTTTATAGTTTTCAAAATTGGCTGTTTATTTTGCTTTATTGTTGGCCTACAGGACAAATACAAGAGAAAATGCACAGACACTGGAATTGAAAAAAGACTTTTCTTTTTCTTTCCAGAAATGAAAGAAGAAATTAATTCAACGTTGACATCCCTCCAGTCTTGTTTCAGTCTTCTACTTCCAGCCCCTGATGAATTTTCTGATGACCGGAAAACAGAAGAGGTCGAATTCGACGATCTGAGGCTTTACGGGATGGTCAATCAATGTGGAATCACTATCGAATTGACTGTCGGTAAGTACATAAAGGATGTCAAAAGCGAGTAATTGTCGTATTTATTTATTTTTCAGACCAAAAGGTAAAAGTTAAGATGGACGATGACAACAGGACAATATTGGAAGCTGCGAAAGATTCGTATGTCCTAATTAAAAATCGCTTTCTTCCTAAAACCATCACCTGGGTCGAGCTCCTTCAAAAGACGAAAGGTTAATAATTTAACTAAATACTTGATAAAACTCTTAAAAAATTAAAAATTTACTGTAGGAGATAAATCGATGATTAAGGAGGCAGAGAGGCAAAAGGAAATTTTAGAAGGGGCGATCAGAAAGTACAATACGTTGGAAATAGTCAATGAAATTGAAGAACCAATGGATTCCGACTCTTCAGACAATGATTTTGAAGAAGTTGTACCAACGAAGCCAGATAAAAAAATTAAGCAGAACGAAGAAATGAGCTTCTTTTCACGTATACTGGTAAATTTAACTGTCTTTAAATCTTAATCTTTACAAACTAAAAAAAGTTAGTTTATATAGTTGTTTAATTTTGTTTTAGCAAAGCACAGAGGAAAAGAGTAAAAAACAGCAGGACAAACCTGTAAAGTCAACATCTGAAAATTTGAATGCGTCTTCTCGACCGTCTCTACCTGAAGGCTCTGAAACAAAATCGAGAAAGTCTGAACTGTTAAAAATCGCCCCAAAACTACCTTTCGATATCGACCTTTACCACTGGGAAGATGAGAATCTACAAGCTCCAAAAATCCTACCGTAAATATTTAAATATAATATCTCAATGAGTATCTTCTTAAATTTTTTTTTTTCAGAGTAAATTTAGATGCGTCATCAATCTGGACATCTCCGCTGACCAATTTGTCAGACATGGAAGTCCCAGGCGGTTCAGAGGCGCTCAGAAGTCGTGTAATTGAGTTTTCGGGGAAGTTTGAACCCGTGACAAGGGCTTGCAAGGCACCGTTACCCTCGGGCAGACTCTGTCCTCGCTATGACCGCGTCAAGGTGAAAAAAAAATCCTTTTTTATAATATAACGTAATAAATTGGTTTGTTTTCAGTGCCCTCTACATGGAATTATTGTCGACAGGGATGATGACGGTAACATTATTAACGATGAAGACAGAGTGAAGGTTGAAAAAGCCAGCCAGAAGCCGAGAGTGCCTGATTGGCAGGACCCAGTGCTACTAGCCGAGTTAAAAGTAATTTTTTTTTTTTTAACCAAATTGTTAAATTTATAGAAAAATTTTCCAGGCGAAAACTGGCATCGATTTAGAAATGCCTAAAAAAGGTCAAAGAAGGAAGAAAAACCCGAAACACCCTGGTTTAACAGACATACATAAAAAAGTCGAAACGCCAATGAAAAGGATCGCTAAGAAAATATTCAACAAGTAATTTTTTTTATTAAATATAATTTTAACAAAAAAATATACATTTTTTTTTGTTATTAGGAAAGCCGTGAAAAGGGTGGCGAGTACTTTGGATAGAATTGACTATTCAAGGCACAGAGATAAATTCGGCGATCAGTTCAATTACGTCCATGACAAACTTTGATCATTATGATAGCATATAGTAATTTATTTTTCTACAGAAACAATGCCGAATGTGTCAGTAATTTAATTTTCTATAAGGCGATCTCGGTGAAAATTGTAACATGATATACGGTGCAAATACTTTTGTAAAATATAATTTATCGCACCTCACTGATTAGATAAATTAATAATCAATTAAACATTAATATTTCTATCACAATTTGTGGAATTTTTTTAATGTAATTGAAACATTTTTTGTCTCATTAGCCTTGCGTGCTGTTTAATGTCTAAATAGCAATAAGTATGTCATTAAAACAAAAATTTAACTACAAATCTAATAAACATAATACTGTTTTGTTCCCGTTTTTTTTTTTTTTTTTTTTGTAACCCTTATTTTCAAAATAATAAATCAACAGCATTCACACTAGAAGTCAAATATAACAATGGAAGTAAAAGTCAATACAAAACAATAAATAAATATAAAACTAATATGAATTTTTTAACGTTTTAAAACAATTGGAACTTTTTTTAAAACCCTCCATCGCTCTTAGTCTTATAACGTGTAAATATCAACATTTTACTGGAAGCGACGGTGCTTGAGAATCAAACGGTTCGCTATGAGTCGTAACGCTCACTCCCGTAAGAGTCGAATTGGAAGTTACCTCCTCGTTTCTTTCCTCTGCCCAATATTTCTGCGACATGAAAACGACCGCCCAAAAATAAAGATATATGCCTGAAACAATAAATCCGAGGTAATGCGTCGATTAACACAAAAAGTAAATAATAAATTACTTACATAAATTGCATAATGTGAATAGTAATAACCAATTGTCAACTTTTTCGTGTCTGTTGTTGAAATCTGACAGCATAAGCAATATCGATACAATCTGCGCGATCGAACTTAAAGATTCGCATACAAGCCATGGATAAGCAAAATAATTTATTTCCTGAAATATTTAAAAAAAAAGAAAATTTGTAAAAAGTGCAAACATGATCATAAACATAAATAATTAAAATTAAAAAAACTTACTACTATTGAACCCCAAATTAAAATTGCACTTGCTATAGCGAACAACATGGCAAATACCATATACCCAATTTTCAACCATTTATCTGTTGAAAAAAAATAAATAAATAAAATATTATTGGTTGAAAATTAGCCTTAATGCATTACCGAGCGCTGCGTTATTCTGCATATTTGCTTTCAGTATGATTTCATCTATGTCCAATCCGAGCAGTATGCTTACAGTGCCGGAAGTTTTGCCCTGTTCGGCTAAATCTGTGAATATCTGTATGAGCACCAGGACGGATGTGATCTAAATGATTCAAATAAAACAATATTAAACACATATAAAGCGACTTAAGAAATGGACACAACTCCTAGGAATATGCTTCAGCGAAGCCTAGATATGACAAGGGTCTTTTCAACCGTACTCGACAATCTTGCCATGTTAGCTGTCATCTATTACACGATACCTTTACTGAGCAATGTTCTTGGAACTGATATCGAAGTATGCCAGTTTTCACTGGATGGTGCCAGGTTTCACAGGAAAGAGCGGTGAGGTTGTGGCCTGCACCAAGTATTTCATAGTAAAATTACATGCAACTTGGCACACCCACTCTTTTAGTGATTCAAGGTAATGGTGGCTCTGCTTATCACCCTATCAGCACAATTACCGCAGTCGGTAGCACGACCTCTGTTGACCTTCTCATGCTTTTTTTGTAAAAATACCACCACAAAACTATCCGGACAACCAGGCATATAGGTCTAAACAAAAAGGCATATGAGGTGGTTAAGACCGGGACATCTTAATCTCCAAAGTTACCCACATAGTCTGGCCCTCTGATACTAAAAATGCAATAAAAAAAAAAAAAATGAATAAAATTAAATTTCAGTGTCGGTTGGCCGGACTGGTAGATGCTCTCACATATCAAGAGCATGTACACCTCAAAGGACTTGTCTCGTAGAAGAAGGGTTATCCTCAACTTATTACGAATAGGCCATGCGAGCTTGTCACAGGGATGCTTACTTTTGGTCCAAAGCCCATGTTCATGTCTGGCATGTAAAAAAAGCTCGATGTGTTCCAATTAACTGAAAGGTGCACACCTAAGTGAAAGTTGCAATTCCTTGGCTCCATATAAGGAGTGTGTAGGAATGCCACCCGATATGAGAATCATGTCTGAGCTTGGCAGAGAGTATCTGGGTCTCCTGTTACGATTTTTGGAGCCAAGGGTTGTTTTATTGTATATAGTAGTGGTAGTTTGTATCCTTAAAGTACGTGAATTGAGAGTGAATGTATTTATTGGCGTGAATGTATAGTGTGGGAGGGCCTATGCACTAGATGTAGAGTACAGTGGCCCTGCATTCAAACCTTGTACTTACAAGTGGGCTTTTTCTCCAAAAGCACCAGCATCCTGAGGGTTCATATGACCTCATATTTGAAATACCCTCATTAAAAAAAAATCTTTATGAACGTACTGCTTCCATGCATACTCCATTATTAGCAATGTTCGACATTTTATATTTATATTCTTATTAATTTGTATTTGTCAGGAAAAAAAATTGTTACTAATGAATAAAGCAGTGTGACAGATGCTTGGTGAAAGTTGCCTATGACAAACTTTTGGACGATCTGAAGGTAGAGCACTCCGAAGTCAAGCTCAGCATGCCACCTTTCACCTCTTCTTGAAATCCCAAATGACATAACTTTCGGCTCAGCTAAGGTTGTAAGAGGGATATTTCCTCATTTTACCCTACGTCTGAGCTCGTCCCAAAAGTACTCAATGAGGTTCACATCAAGGTTACAGCCGCCTGGCCTTCTTAGAGTGTAAATAGTGACATATCAAATGTACTGCATAACACTGGTGGCAACAGATGATCTTGCATTATCTCGCATAAACAAAAATTTTTCGCCAATAACAGGAGCAAGCATATTCACATATTCCTCAAGAATTTTTGTCGTATAATTATACATTAACTCCTATTAAAAACATGTAACTCCATGGGTAAAAAATTCTACTCAACACTACAAATGAACCATCTCTGAATGACCCTCTTCTTGCAATGTTGCATTGGCAGTAGAACACTACAGCCACTCGATAAACTCAAAGACGTCTGTTGTGGGATAAAAAACTGAGACTCGTCTGAAAGAGTAACTCTCCTTCGTTACAGTTTCTGTCTAATGCCAGTGTACCTAGCAAACTCTAAGCAGTCCTGTCGATCATCTCTGTTTGTTGCCGGCTTCCTGGCAGGCAATCATTTCTGCAAGTCTCCTTACTGTTTCATCGCTAACACATCCAGTTCAGTCCAAATTCTTTGAGACATTTCAGAAGCAGTGGACAAGCGATGTCTGTGTGAAATCTGTTAATCGGTCCCCTGGCTCTTGAGACCCTGGTCTCTAAGTACACCTTGCAGTCTCCTGGTACTGCTGCATGCTAGACCACCTTCGTTTTAGGCAAATCTAAAACTTAACGTAACTGATTTCGTCTATTAACGAGTACGTGCTGATTATGGGCGTTTTTGTAATCGTATTGTATTGTACCAACACAATAATGCAAAAAGACATTTTTTAAGGATTAAATTTGATTTACATTCTGGAGATTTTAATTCAAATTATGAATGAAGTGGTTTTGCTTCACAACCGCTGACAAAAAGAAATACTTTCTGTCTAATTATAATTATTAAAACATTACTCAAGTAGTAAAACAAAAAATATAGCTAAAACATCAAATTAAAAAAATAAATCAAAATAGAAAGTGAGCCACTTTTTTTGTGGAGCTGTGTAGTACAATAAATGAAAAGCCATATATCAGTTGATGATGGGGATTGGTCTGCGAATCATCGAAGTGCTGAACCAGCCTAGGGACTTCACTCATGGTGAAAACGGACCCAATAAGTGACCCTACGATAGTTCAGCATACATTTATTGGGGTGAAAATCTAAACATGCATCATTAAATCAACATTATTTTAATTTAAAAGATTTGCTTCTATTTGAATGAAGGCGTTCATAGACCTTTTTACTGAGTATACGTGACAGCCTCGTCCTGATACTTAAAGTTACCTTTCTTCCAAAGATCTGCGATTATGATGATTAATTATATGGAATGTCGAAATGTTGATTGTGAATGGGCAAACCAGGATGACCTGATACAATCAACGTACTGATTAATTTTTAATTTATGTCATTGACCTACTATTTATTTCTTTGCTTTTTGGTAGTGTACTGCTCAAAGTCATTTAAGCTTATTTTACTTGTAATATTGAAGTAATTTGATGATTTATACTAAAAGTTAAAAGAATTCAAGACAAATTATTTGCAATTTTTTATTTATTTATTTTGAAATTGTTTGTACCGTACCAGGCCTATCATGGCGATCACCCTTGTAGCCAGGGACAATTTGATGCAGCATATTTTCACACTCATCCTGGATGATTTAGTCAAAAATGTCATTTGTTTACGTGATGATCTCGTTGGACAATCATCACCGGAGGGCTTGGGAACCGTTCGACACGGTTTTACAAATTATTTCACCTCCCTTTCACATCATCAGTCTAAAACGGGCGGGCGATGACACCGATGATGCACACTACATCCCTCACACTCCAAATCGAAACAAAATAACCTGAGGTTTGTTTTCAAAACTGTCTTTTCAGTTCAAATATTACACGGTACGACAGTTTTCTTATCGATTTATCAGGGTTTAAACTTTCGATATAAATCTCTTCTTTTTTTCAATAAAAACTTTAACTTTCTGTTTTGACTCCATATCATCATCATAGACATCATCACATTTTTTTTAATATCAATGTAAAGATTTTTTGACAACTAAACATATCAATGAAGATTTTATTTTGAAACAGACTATCGATGTTGACAAGCAATGTCTATATACATCGATGATAACAAAACATAGCCTGTGTTTACGTTGTCAGCTTTTCTTTAGTACTTACTAAACTTACTAAAACCACCTAATCAGACTTTGGAGTTTGGATGTTTGTATTTTATTACCAATACTATCATCATCATTAATTAATAATTTCCGTAAGAAGTTTTAAAAACATTTATGATTTATTGTTTAAAAAGAGCTTTTTTAACAGATATTTTCATTCAAGGGTTCTTTATCTTATCTTATCAAATTAAATATCTTTGTTGTTTTTTTCTTATGGACTATTCAGTTTAGACGTTACTGAGCTGATTTAAATTGTTATTCAATTATTAAAGCAAAAGACAGTGGAGGCTTCCTACGCTGACCCCTGTCAGCGACTTCGACTGACTCCGTACTGCATCAGGCTGCCTCTGCGCCCAATGTACAACTGCCTAGACTGCCTTTACGATCATCTTTTCTAATTGATTTATATTGTTTTCAAAGAGATCATAATGAACAGTGACGTAGAATTGCACATAAGGGAAAAGGTCTCTTGGTACAAATTGCCCGCGAATGTCAAACAGGTACGCTTAGGCCACATCGTACAAAAGTCATAATATAATAATCTGAAAATTGTTCTGTTTCAAAAGTTTTTGGGCAACTCACAAAAAGAATATGAAAAAGCTGTCGTCAATTTTCGCATAAAAAACCAGTTGAAGTACCCAAGAAATATCGGTAATTTTTCTTAAATTTCATTTGAAATATACTTTATTAACTTTCAATTTTTTTAATAGTCAGGCGTTGCATGAAGGAGCAGCAGTATTATGAAGACATGCTCGTATACAGTCAGACGAGTCTACTGCTGTACCCTTACCATCTAAGCTACAACATAGTACGAGGTCTCCGGGTCACCCCTTTTCAGTATTACACGAGAGTTTTGGAAACGCTCATGGACAACGAAGGGAGTTACGATTCCTTGCCGAATTTCACGGCTGCTGATTGTAAGTAGGATAATTTTTACTTAAGCAAAAACTTACTAATACATAGAAAATGCTTGGGTATGTGAGCTTGTAAGGACTATTGTTAACCAAGGCGAGAGCATTTAGCTTTTTTTCTATTTGCATGTATACTGCAAAAGTAAAAAAAAAATTATGGATAAGATTGATATACAATACTAAAACATATTATCCTGAGATTTTGACTCTTTATATTGATTGGCTCTCCTGGTAATCAACTTTACTAGTAAGTCAAATCTCCAAGTCGGTCAACACTCATGGTCCGTCGACTCTTCTGGTCGATCAACTCCGCTGGTCTATTGACTCTCATCATCGGTTGACTGTGCTGAACTGTCAACTTTACTAGTATGTCAAATAACAATATTGGTCATTACTCCTTGTCCGTTGATGCTTTTGGCCCGTTACCTTTCCTGAGCTATCGATTCTTATTGTCGGTCAACTCCGCTGGTCTATTGACTCTCCTCATCGGTTTACTTTCCTGGATGGTCAACTTTACTAGTATGCCAAATCTCGAAATCGGTCAACACTCCTTGTCCGTTGATTCTTTTGGCCCGTCATATTATCTGAGCTATCGACTCTTCTGGTCGGTCAACTCCACTGGTCTATTGACTCTCCTCGTCGGTTTACTTTCCTGGACTGTCAACTTTACTAGTATGCCAAATCTCGAAATCAGTCATCACTGCTAGTCCGTTGATCCTTTTGACCTGTTATCTTTCCTGAGCTATTGAATCTTCTGGTCGGTCAACTCCACTGGTCTATTGACTCTCCTCGTCGGTTTACTTTCCTGGACTGCCAAATTTACTAGTATGCCAAATCTCGAAATCGGTCATCACTGCTAGTCCGTTGATTCTTCTGGTCCGTTATCTTTCCTGAGCTATTGATTCTTATTGTCAGTCAACTCTGCTGGTCTATTGACTCTCCTCATCGGTTTACTTTCCTGGACGGTCAACTTTACTAGTATGCCAAATCTCGAAATCGGTCAACACTCCTTGTCCGTTGATTCTTTTGGCCCGTCATCTTTTCTGAGCTATCGACTCTTCTGGTCGGTCAACTCCACTGGTCTATTGACTCTCCTCGTCGGTTTACTTTCCTGGACTGTCAACTTTACTAGTATGCCAAATCTCGAAATCGGTCAACACTCCTTGTCCGTTGATTCTTTTGGCCCGTCATCTTTTCTGAGCTATCGACTCTTCTGGTCGGTCAACTCCACTGGTCTATTGACTCTCCTCGTCGGTTTACTTTCCTGGACTGTCAGCTTTACTAGTATGCCAAATCTCGAAATCGGTCAACACTCCTTGGCCGTTGATTCTTCTGGTCCGTTATCTTTCCTGAGCTATCGATTCTTATTGTCGGTCAACTCCGCTGGTCTATTGACTCTTCTCATCGGTTTACTTTCCTGGACTGCCAACTTTACTAGTATGCCAAATCTCTGAATCGGTCATCACTCTTGGTCTGTTGATTCTTCTGGTCCGTTACCTTTCCTGAGCTGTCGACTCTTCTGGTCGATCAATTCCACTGATCTATTGACTCTCCTTATCGGTTGACTGTCCTTGACTGTCAACTTTACTAGTAGGTCAAATTTTGAAATGGGTCAACACTCCTTGTCTGTTGATTCTTTTAGCCCATCATCTTTTCTGAGCTATCTACTCACAATCAATGACCCAGATTCAAAACATGTATCACAGCGCAAAACTCCACAGACCCCAAGAAATAATCTTACATTGTAATTTGTTTATATTTAATTGTGATTATACAAAGAAAAATAGCCGTCCACTTCGACAGACGGGCATTGAAGGCAATTGCATCGATGGTAAGTCCATAGTCTTATGGGACCGCATTAGAGCCCTTCAGTCATTGGAGCAAATAACAAAATTACCTTTGACTGGGTACCAGGACATGCAGGAAAGAAGTGCAATGAAGAGGCCAAGGAAAGTTCAGTGAGGACTTGTGGCTTACCAAACTGCCAAAAACACGGATCCACTGACAATGGAATAATAAGTCCTTCGCTTGGTGGAAATGTAGCCCAGGACAGAAGCATGTGAAAAAATGTATTAAAAGACCGTCATACTAATAGCACAACTACTAAATCTAGGACATGCTATGACTAGAATATCAGTTGGACTGCTAACCGGACACTGCAGACTCCAGAGAAATATATATAGACTCAGAGTGGCAGAAACAAGTCTGTGCAGTTATTGCCAAAAAGAAGAAGAAACAGCCAAACACGTCCTCTGTAAGTGCGAAGACCTTTGTAGGCTGAGATTCCTAATCCTGGGAGAGGAAAAGCCAGGGCCTGAAGGATACAGATGGGAGCCTTTGAAAAAGCTTTGGTATCTGGTAAAGAGCCTCAAGCTTAACGGGGAGCTCTAGATAGAAAAATGGAGGTGCACAATAGACCAATACTGGTTATCGTGCATAAGTCATAAGCAGACCATCTCCTACATAATATTCAGTTAAATATGTTTTTTTAGTAAGATGTACATTTGAATTGGTAGTGTTCATTCAAAAATAACTTTGTAAAAACTGAGTAGCATTTTTTTTTTTCTAGCAGGATTTACATATAATTCTAAAGCACATCTTATTATTTTTATTTTTGTAATCATATTCAGGCCTTAGACTCCTTGGGATCGGCCGAAATGAGTACATAGACCTGATGAACCAGTGTCGATCGAGGCGAAAACTTTTTAGGAAGAAAAACATCCGCGATTTACTCCCTCAGAAGCCTGTCGACATAAACATGGAGCCCTGGTGGATTGTTCAAGCCGGCTGCATAGTCGAGGACGACATAAAAGTACGATATGGCAATTATGCTGTTAATGTTAAACCAAGATGATCAAGTCTGATCAAACTTCTCATGAAGGTTTATTATTGCAGTTTATAACTGAACAAGAGAAAAATTTAATCGACAAGCTGTATGATAACGGTGCACAAGTCGTCGGCGACTTGGATTTTGAAACAGTCCACAAACTTTACAAGTAAGGTCGAGAAAAAACAAGTAATTTAAGAAAGTTATGTAAGTTGAATGGGCACTGGGTCTGTCTACACTTGTGGGTTTCAATGTCACTTAAATGTGTTTCATCTTTGCGCCATCCTCAGTGAGGAGATGAACACTCAAAATCTGGTAGTGTAGACAGACTCAAATGTTCACTGTAGACCAACGTCTACCATCAAAGTTTATAATTTTGTTCTATTCCAGGAAAGGATTAATTTATTTGGACGTTCCGATAGAAAAGGACGACATAGTTGTCGTACCTCCTTTAAAAGGTTTCGTAATGAACCGAGTATTGGGCGACAGTTTTGAAAATCTACTGTATAAAATATTCGTCTCAATTGATGAGCACACAACTGTTGGAGAGGTTGTTTTAATTTTTAACCTTTATGTTTATTATTATTTTTGTAACACATTTTTCCTTAGCTTGCAGGAGTTTTACAAATAAATTTCAAGTTGGTCAAAAGAGCAGTTTCGCTTTATTGCCGGCTAGGTTTCGCCAAAAAGAAAAACTGTGATTCCGATTTTGACAATTGGAACCAAGGGTGAATTAAAATTTTATTCTTAAAAAAAATAATAATAATAAAATTTTATTTTAATTATAGAGCTCCAAGCCCAACGAAGATGATTTCTTCTTTTAGTAAAGTATACAATACCGAAGGCAGCAATGAAGAGGAACGAAGGACTAAAATCGCCTTTTTGTTTGACTCGACATTGACGGCGTTTTTAATGATGGGAAATTTATCACCAGTACGTAAAAATCTTTTACTCTAAACCATATTTTCTTTACATCAAAATTTTCTCCCAGGGATTGAAAAATCATGCGGTAACAATGTTCGAAGTGGGAAAATTGACTGATGAATCCATGGACAGCTTTCTTTGTGAGCTTGAAAAGGTAATGTTTATCATTTAACTTTGAATAAGGCAATTTTTACTATTTGGACTTTAAATAGGTGAGCACAGCGAGAGATGATAGTGAAGGTGAAGCGAGAAGGTATTTCGAGCACGCTCTCATCCTGCGTTCTACCATTATCGCCCTACGTCATCAAGGGTTAGATCTTGTCAGATGCGAAAGCCTTCAATCTTTAGATAACGATATGTGCAATAGGCTCTTAAATAAAAATTACGGGTACAAAAAAATCTTATAAAACAAAAAATTTGTATTTAATATTTTTTGTTTGACCGTAGGCTTTTGGTTTCAATGGCGCCTCTTAGTGGCGAAGTGACTCCCATCATATGCGAAAATTTGCCACATCTAGGCCCTCCTTGTCCTCAAGCGCATACACCTTGGTTCAAATTATTTCTATACCATGTGACAGGAAGCGGTCCTCCTTCCATACTTTTTTCACGTGGTATGTAAAATATTACCAAATTTATAAACTGACATCACAAAAATACACACAAAGCAAAAATAACAAAATATATACAAAATAACATTTAGAGAGAAATATTTACAACAATAATTTTTGAAAATAATATAAAGTAAAATAAGATTGTGATGGCCGAGTAGTTAGGGTGTCCAACTCTTGGCCATGCCAAGGCCATCGGTTCCATCTTGGGAAGGCCCATGGCTTTTTAACTTAGAATAATAAGAAAAAAGTATTGTAAAGTGGTTCTGACCCCTTGTACAGGTCACCCCCTACAGAAAGACAAACATTCTTAACACTGCCTAAGAAATAGTAAGGCTTTTGAATCAACATACCTTCCAAATATATGTCAATTTTTTGTCTCTCCCTACTTATAACCCTGAAATAATTTTTCGAGGTTAGTCACTATTTTTGTTTAGAGTTACTGTGGTTTTGAGCATGTCACAATGAAGCGGCAAGCTAGACTACCAACATTGTCTGAAAATTAATTATCAGTGTTTTGCCTCTCCCTGCTTATAACCCTGATATTTAACGTATAAAAACACTTTGTAATTGGGGTTGTAGCATGTTCACTATAAAGGAGCAAGCAAGATTACCAACATTCTTTGAAATATAACTCTCAGCTTCTTGCCTCTCCCTGCTTATAACCCTGACATCGTTCAACTACACGAGTTTAAGTTCATTGAAGCTATCAATTTGCTAACCCGTAAAAGTTAGCAGGGCTGTTGATTGACTCTACCTACATTCTTTAAAAAGTATGTTAACTTTTTGTCTCTCCCTACTTATAACCCCCACATAATTTTTTGAGATTTGTCAATATTTTTGTTTAGTGTTACTGTTATTTTGAGCATGTTCTGATAAAGGGGCAAGCTAATTACCAGCATTCTCTGAAATATAACTGATAGCTTCTCGTCTCTCCTTGCTTATAACCCAGCCTTTAGTTTTTCAATACAACGTACATTTGGTCCAAATATGTTAAAACATCAAATTTATAAACAAGTAAGACAGAACAATAGACAAAGTGACATAAACAAATTATAAATAATTTATCATTACATTTCATTTATTTCATTACTAAACCAGAAAAAAACTACTAAATTAATTTTATAAATAGGTACAAGAATAACAGTGCTGCCTTCAATACTTAGAAATTGTGATAAAGTTTTATTTACTTCATGGGGACATGATCCGACTGTTATTCCTCTTTCCAACCTTTTGTTTTCTTTGAACGATGCCTTGTGTTATTCACCCGTTCTTGTCCAGGTATTACGCTTGATATATTTGTATAATATTTTTATTCTATCCATTCTTTTTTTTTTCATGTTCAGGTCCATGGTAACGACGATAACGATGTTGACACTCATTTAATACCATTTCCCTTTGTAGAAACATCAGATTTCGGTAATGAAATTTGTATACGATTTTGTTATTTTATTTTTTTTTAATACAATTTTGGTTTGTTCTGTATGTGAAGAAAGCGGGACTGAAATTTTCAAATACCATCCCGCCGTCGTCAGACTTGCAAAGGAACTTGACATCAATCATACTTGCGGGTATATAACAATGATCAAGGTCAAAAGTCCAAATTTGCCGAGTAAACTTCAGGTGAAAGATACACTGTCGCTCCCTTTGAAAATGCATGAACACCATCCTCATTTGGACACGCCAGCTACGCCTTCTTCAGTCGAAGCTTGGCTCCACACGATATCTTCCGGTAATTTCAACTATACGATGTACATACACAAACAAAAATTATATTTTGTTTTTGTTTTCAGAAGGAGGAGAGTTTAATACAAAACAATTTATTGTAACTCCGTTGAAAGAAGAAGAAGACGAAGAAGACCAAGGTAATTCTGCAGCTAATGAAGAAAATACGGAGATGGCCGGTAATGCAGATGGTCTCGACAGCAGTGAGAGTTCTACTGAAAGGTATTTCAAGCATGATACAATAAAATCGTGCATCACACTCATATATTTTCTCCACTTCATTGAAAAACATTAAATCACTAACCTTAATCCTAACCTAACCCAACTTAGCAGTTGTGAAAGACTTAGGTAACTGTACAGCTAGTGAAGAAACTACAAATGGTCTTGATGGCAGTAAGTGTTCTACTGAAAGGTATTTCATGCATATTAATGCCATAAAATGTGCTTCAAAGCATATTTTCTTTGTTTCAAAGAAAAACATTGTCTCTAACCTAACTTGTACCATCTCATCCATAACCCTAACCCTACTTAACCTAACCTGTACCTTCTTCTCATAACTCTATCCCAACCTTACCTAACCTGACTAAGAGGACAAGGAAGAATGAGGTAATTTTACAGCTAATGAAGAAAAAACAAAAATATCCACAGAGACAGCCAGCCTTACAAGCTATAAGAGTTCTGATGAAATTATTACAAGCATATAAATACATAAATTAGTGCTTCAAAGCATATTTGCTCTGCTTCACCGAAAAACATTCAATCATGTTATGTAATGTAATCAGTCCTTAACCGTACTTAACCTAACCTGTACCATCCTGTCTATAACTCTAACCGTAACCCGACTAAGAGGACAAGGAAAAATGTGGTAATTGTGTAGGAAGTGAAGAAAGTACAGAGATGGCTTAAGACGACAGTCTTGACAGCAACGAGAGTTCTGTTGAAAAGTATTTCAAGCATATTATTACATAAACTCGTGCTTCCAACCCTAATTCTAACCCTACTTAACCTAACCTGCACCATCATGACCATAATTTTAACCCTAACCCGACTAAGAAGACAAGGAAAAACAGGGTAATTTTGCATGGAAAAATGGATGAGAAAGCATAAATTCGTGCATCAAAGCCTATTTTCTCTGCTTCACGGAAACATTTGAAAACATGGATATGTAAATTAGCCAGTTCCTAACCTCCTAACCCTAACCCGTTTTAGTCCGTAGTTTACTGAAAGGTATTTTAAGCTTATTTAAACCTAAACATTCCCAACCTGACCCAATCCATGCACACTCCCTGCAAAATCAATAATACAAAAAATTTGTTTATCCATTCTAGTAACATAGCCTTATTAAAATTATAAATATAATTTTTTTTAAATTAGTGGTTCAAAAGTTGAAGTGCCTTGCCCCACAGCTTTAAGGATAGGAATATCTGAAAGGAGAATGACTTGCGGTCCTATAAATATTGACGAATGGTCTTTGCTCGACTGCAGCTTCGGCATTCCATTGTTCGATGAAATCGTTAATAAAAAAATATGCAAAACTGTCATTGAAAAGTTAATATTGCCTGAAAGGTAATGAAAAAAGCACACCCTAATTTTTTCATTAATATATTAATAAAAATTATATTTACAGTTTACAAAAATTGATTGTATTAAACAATACACTTTCTTCGAGGCTTATTTCTTTCATTGAACAAGTCCAGGTAATTGTTATTTTTATTAAACATATTTGTTTATAACAATGTTTAACATTATCGATTCTTTAGAGTTGGAGTGACGATTCTTGGATGTCTTCGATGAAAAATAAAGATAACAACTGGCCAGTTTTAAACATTATGTTTAATAACGGCCAGTTGTTTCCTTGGGATGGGAAATAAAAGCTTTTTTATTTATTTATGCAATAATAATAATTAAAAAAGATACTTAAATAAAAGAAATATATGTTGATAGAATTTTATTCCCTTGTTTAGAATTGTAATAATTTAATGAGTCTTATTTAATATTTACCATGGAAAATAACCGCTTAAAAATAAATTATTTATATAGATTTATGTATATATAAATGAACATTTTTTTGTAATTATTTGCTTTTATTATGTATCCTCCTTTCAAAATACACATTTTTTCATCCTGTGGTTTATTCCTGTCAGAAGCATTTTATCTTTTCGCCTCATATGCCTCATCAGTGGAGGGTTTTTGGTCAGAAGATCCAAACTAAAGAATAGAAAATGTCAATGAGCAAAAAAATATTAATTTATTTTTATCTGTAACTTTTTCAGCTAAGGTACTGGGTGGATCAAGTGAGCCTGTAGGGTGCGAGGTGATAGGAAGGGATCTTTATTAGAAGGCAGGACAGTAGTTTCATCTATGAAAGTGTGGATGAATGTGTCGTAATGGGACGGTAGATTGGTGGTGCATATGGAATACAGGATGGGACCAAGTTTGATCTAGTAGTGCATAAGTAAAGTCAATAAAAATTAGTATTAGTAGATCACTTCTAATTTTAAGACCTATGGGCGTGAAACTGCAGTAGAGATTGAATAGTTTCTTGCCTTTGGGTGGAGTGAGTTTAATATGTGCAGCCCATGTTAATTTGCGTTCAATAGTGAGACTAAAAATTTTACCCTAGAACAGGACTTGCCAAAATCCAGGGCGGACCCCTCTCATTCAAGTATTTAAAATTAGATACTGATAGTACATAATAAATTAAAATTTTATAAATTACCCCAGATCTATTCCTAATTATGTGATTGAGGGGACATCACTACGAAAACAAAATTATATCAACATTCTTAAATTTATTTACTAAGTCATAAAAATCAAATTAGACAGAACGGAATCAATAGGTAAACTCGAGCCAAATTCAAAAATTATAATTTGAATATTAATGATTAAGAATTAAAGGGAAGAGTGAAGCTGAAGTTTAAGTCGATTTTTCTTCTGCTGGTGAACAAAAGACCGATGTAGTATCTGATATATGTCCCTCTGGGGCCGTGGCCTCTCCGGCTGTGCATCCGCGGTGGGGAGGCTATATTGGTGGATGTTTTAAGGCAGCTATGACCCTTAGTCATTTTACACCTTTAAAAAAATTTAAAAAAGTGTTATATATTTTTTATTATTATTTTATTTGTGCCCTATACATATTCGTAAATATGCCAAATGTGATTACAAAACAGTTTTTTCACACAGTCACAGCACTAACACTAATGCCAGGGCAGCACCCGGAGGACATATGCCATGAGAACCCAGCCATTGCTGCACTCATTGTGAGGGATTAAGGGGCAAGGTCTCGAGGCTATCGTCGATTAAAGCGACATGGCAGGTTCTCGGGATGATAATGTGTAGAGAGGGCTCGGGCTGTAGGATAAGTGAGGTTGGAGTGAAACTTTTGGAATCAGGACCGGATCAGTCTGTTGACCAAAGGAATATTGAGGTCGTTGTGGGTAGTGAGGTTAATGATGTAATAAGGAGCTTTGAAATATCGTATAAGGACTTTTGATTGGAAGTATTAGATGCACTGGATGTTGGATGGCTTGGCAGAACCCCACAGTTTCTCTCAGTATGTCCAAAGTGGTCATAGTAAAGTATTGTGTAAGTTTGGTTTTGACAGGGAAGCAGAGTTGGGTCCTAGAAATCTTTGAGTTGTCCAAGTCTTCTGTTGAGGTGTTCGCCTTCTGTGGGATTCCATGTCAGTTTGCTGTCTAGGTACAGTCCAAGGTATTTCATTTGAATGAAAGTCGGAATCTCTTTGTTGTTGATATACAATGGAGATCAAGACTGTTTTCTCAACGTGAATGTACATAGAGTACATTTTTCTTCATTAAGTCTTGCCCTCCACCTTATACACCAATCTTCGATAAGCTCAAAGTGTTTTTGGATGTTGGAAGTAGCTTGAATAAGATTCGAGGTAGAGGGCAAAATTGCGGTATCTACGTAGGTGGAGAAGACGGTATTAGGGTGTATAGGTAGGTCAGTATGAATGATGGGACCGAATGCTCCCTTGTTGGACGCCAGCTTGTATCTGTCTGATTTCTAGAACTCATTGCCGCACCGACTCTGAAGCAGCAGTGTGTTAGGCAAGATTTCAGGATAAGATAATAAGGAATTGGTAGGGAGCGTTTAAGTTTATAAAGCCCGGGTGCCAGACCCTATCTAAAGCCTTCATCTAGAAACGCCCTCAAGCAATACTTTTTATTCTCTATAGCAGAGGAGATAGTGTCTACAACTTTGAAGCCTTGTTGGATCGTGGAATGGATCACAGTTTGGGAAACCCTGCCCTAGAAAAACTGGAATGTTATTTTTTCCTAAGTTTGAGCTGAAATGTACGTCGATTTTTCTTATGCGAGTGAAGGGACAAAAGAGCGATTTCGAGTCTGATATTTCTAAATGTTGCACACTCTTTTGCAGAGAGGCACAGGTCATCCACGTATTGAATTATCTATATACCCTGGGGTAGGGTCGAGTCTAAGACGGAGTCGTAAAGAGCATATAGTAATGGGCTCAGTATCCCACCCTGTGGTAGCCCTATATATGATATCCTGGAGCCTATAGACTCCCCTTCGAATCTAAAGTAGAATTTCCTGTCTGTTATTAACTTGATACGTACGAAAACGATTGGAAGACCGAAATGAAGTTTAAACGCAAGGAGTACAACCATGTTGTAATAACCTCCGCTGATGTCCAAGAAAACAGCGAGAACTGATTTATTACTTGAAAAAGCCTATTGAACATCAGGATAAGCTGCGTGTCGGTACGGATTTATTTTTGCGAACCGAATTTAAATGGAGGAATTTGTCGTTTTGCTCTGCCGACCACTCCAAGCGATTTTTGATCATCCGCTTATGTTTTTTGTACATACGATACCAAGGAGATGTTTCGGTATGAGTTGGATATTGTTAGGCGGCTTCCTTGCTTTCTTTATAATCAATTCCTGGTCCAAGAAAAACACACTAGCAAAAGGAAATGTTAACTTGAGCATATTTAAATGGGCCATCTTGTCCTACGTAAATAGCTGCTTCACTCCTTCCTAAGAAAAAAAAGTATTTTTGTTTAAAAAAATACTAATTGGCTGGAATGGGGTATAAACATGTTTAAATATCCCATAACAATTTAAAAAGAAAAAAATGCGTGTCCAGTTTCCTTTTTATATAGTTTTTATTTTCCAAGGGAAAATTTCTTGATGAGCTTGGTAGTTACCCAACAATATATAATTAACAATGACAATTGGCTACGACATTGTATTATCAGTTATATAAAACCGTATCCGGACGATTTTTGTTTTGTTTTGCACACATCGCCTAATTGTAATGTAAACGTACACGTAAAGGACAACTCGGCAGAAAACCTGAGCACGCTGAACATCAATCCTCTATCGTTTCCTGACTTTTCAAGGAAATTGTAAAAGTGCATAATTGATGCATGCGAGATTGCCTAGAGGATTATCCAGCGCCTCAAGGTCTCAGATCCGATGAAGTCCCAACCGGCTGGACTTGCTGCTTTTTAAAACATTAGATTTTCATAACGGGCACCACAGATATCTATCATTTCGCAATCGTTCATATCGTAATCGCCGAGGTGGATAATTCATAGTGTGCGAAAACAACGGAAAATAATTTTTATTTTTTCATTTTCAAAGATCGAAAGGAGTTTTTTCTAATTTAAAATTGTTCTTAATTGAATTTGAAGACATGATTCGACTTCAAATAAATCGTTTTCCAAGGCTTTAGATTAAAATTAAACAAGGCTCTCATACAGTAGGAATTTATTGGTCGATTTAAAAGGAAATATATTTACATCAAATAAAAAGGTTTCATATTGGGAAAGGAAGTAGGGAAATTTAAATAGTATGGATAATTCACTAGTTTTCGTGGTTAGCTTGAAAAATGGCAAAATGAGGGACAATTCAAAAGGTGGGGTTGAGATGGGAAGTTAGTGTTCGAGTGGATCGACGTCACGATAGCTTCATTGGTAGAACAGCAGAGTATCGAGCCGAAGGTCGTGGGTTCGAATCCCGCTCGTGACACTGACTTTTTTATCTCAACTAAAAACCTTAATTAATTGAAAGTATGGATAATCCTGATTCGGGTAATCTCTCTGTTTTTCTTATAATTTATGAAATTATAGCCAAATCGAGGAAGAAAGAATCCTTATATCTATATTATATATAATAATAATTGATCAGTTGGAATTAATTGCACAAAATTCAGTGTTTAAAAAAATAACAATACGTAAATATAATGGTGGATAAAAACTCTTTATAAACCTTAATGAAAATTACAATTAATTGAGGTTTCTAGTTGAGATAAAAAAGTCAATGGCACGAGCGGGTTTCGAACCCACGATCTTCAAAAGGTGCAGTTGAGATGGGAAGTTGGTGTCCGAGTGGATCGAGGTCAGGATAGCTCAAGTGGTAGAGCAGCGGCGTATCTAGCCGAAGATCGTGGGTTCGAATCCCGCTCGTGCCATTGACTTTTTTTATCTCAACTAGAAACCTTAATTAATTGTAATATATTAATAGCGTAATATCAAGCAGACCACGAAATTAGTGGATTTAATGAAAATATCCAAATTCTCCAGGTGTCTGTGTCTTCCGCCCTACGCCCTCGACGGAATCTCCAAGAACAACTAGGAATAGGCCAAACAAAAATAGGCCGACAGTCAAATGAGACAGCCAGAAATATTTAAATCGAGATATTACAGGAACGCAGATATTCCTATTTGATCATTTGACCGTATGGTTCCCATGCTGGACGACCCCCAAATCATCCAAGGAACTTGATTTGTGATCCTCGAGTAATTGAACGTTTTTAAGCAGTTTCATAATCTTGATCACCTTTGTATTTCATATTTCTATAAAATCGACGAGTTCGTCTTCAGTAGATGTCAACATGTTGTCTCTCGCGCTGGTCGTTATTTCTTAGTTCTTTTCGGTAAATCAAAACAGCCGGATGTTTTTTGTTTTATTTGTGCTTTGTTTTATTGCTTTGTTTTATTTGAATATTCGTCAGCAGGTCTGTC